GCAAGTGCCCAGTGGATTGGGCAGCAGTCGATGGCAGGGGCCCCGACGACCCGATCTCTGGACACAGGACAAGCTTTTCAAAATCACCCTCAACAGCAGCTCTTGTGTTTTTCCTCACAGTCCTCTATGGTTAGATTTACTACAGCAGCCAGCAACCAAAAAAAAAAAAAGTACAAATGCTTTCTTATACATAAAATGCAAGGCAGATGACATTTGATTCTACAATACCCGACACAAGGCAGAATGGATGTATCGTACCGTACGAGACCCATTTCATTTCCATCATTCTCGATTTGATGGAACTGCTAAATACTGACGTAATATTTGATACCAAGAGAATAGCTCCCATCTGCAAAACAAAACAAAATCATTGCATATGACATGTTCAATACAGGTACATAAAAGCAGACAGATTAAGAACTGTACCATGTACAGGCAAGCATGAGTCTCCACTTACTTTACCTAGGTGTCACATGCTTCTGAACATGAATGGCTATATAAGATTTTGTTAACATTCTCTCCATTTGTTTTCTCCAAAAATAAAATCTAAAACATTCAAATATTAGCTTTTTTTCCACAACATACAACACCAATTATATATTATCCATGTAAAATATACTCAAGCCAGCAAAAATACACGTCTATTCAGTTGAAAATTATTTTTCATCAATATGAAATCAACTAGAGAAATTCCTCTGAGAAATGCTTTAAATATAGTGAAATCAGTGAGTGTTCAAGGTGTTAAAAATAGAGCAAAAAAATAAAAAATAAGAGCACAAACTATTGCAATTAATTGTACAATCAAAGAAAGTGCAAACAACCCAGAGAAATTCAAAGATCCTCTCTTAAAGCTACAGTATGTAACTTAAAGTAGGGCTAGCACAAAACTCCAAATCAACGGTTAGAGACGTCAATCCCGATCAAAACCTTTCAGAAGCTAAAGTCTCTGCACTGCTGCCAGCGCTGTTCAATGAGTCTGGGTCACCGGAGGCCTTGACAGCACTTCTCCACATCAAGACAAGTTTTGGGGCATATTTCAACAACAAAAATATTTGCAAAAAGTTACACACTGTAGCTTTAAAAACAGGCAGAATGAGTCCCATCACTTAACAAACAAGCAACACAACAAAACAAAACAAAAGCACTGAGTAACTCCAGCTGGGCTGCAAAAAAAAAAAAAAAAAAAAAAAAAAAAAAAAAAAAAAATCAGCTACAAAAACAATGCTAGTAGAATTCAGGTCAGCATCTCGGGTCCCAAAGGGGGAGTTATGTCTGTCATATAAATACCAAAATGTTCCTTACTGTGATTTAAGGTGGTCTGAAAACACTGCATAGTCCTCCTTTTCATATTAATGTACCTGTGATTATACTGGGTGGTACTCTTCCTCCATAAGGCACACCACTGTCATCGACATCCAGACACACCTCAGCTCACACAGTTAAACAGACTTGGATATTTATTTGTTTAGGGACGCATGGCTTACTCCCACTAGAAATGACTTGGATTGTGATTATTTTTCAAGTAGAATTGTGTATTAAAAAACTGGCATTTTTGACCATTTTAAACATTTGCATAGTCAACTGTTTTTTAAAAGTGTTTACATTGAATAAGGTCAATACAGAGATTGAAGTTTTTTTTTCTTTAGAGAATTACTAGGATTGGTTCCTGGGCTTTTACAAGCCAGCCAAAGACTTGTGGAGAAATAGGTGCTATTAAACTGCCACACCCGTTGGTGTCTGGCATAAATCACCAAAACAACAAACCATAAATGCAATAATGCCAACAAAGCTTTCTTCTCTTCTCAGGGTTTGTGGAAACACAGAGAATGATGGGAACCACACTTTGTGGATGTGGCTTTTCTCTCCACAGGAGTTTCACTTACAGAGACACTTGTCTGAACACATTACATCTATGCAGCTGTTCTGTGAGAAGAACCATATTGCTGCATTACAGTACAATCATCAACCACCGCGTTAGGTTACAGCGTGTGACAAAAGGACAGAGATTATCAACACACATGGAACAATAAAGACTGAGTTAGGTAATAAGTCTGGTGAAATTCTACATTTTTTTTATGTCAACAAATCCCATGAAAACACCAAAACAGTGAATTGTAATCCACTGATGAGTAATCCTTGCTACAAAAGCTATAGCCTACAACTACAATGAGTATTTGTGACCTATTTTAAAAGTTTACACTATCAGCAGGATTTTTTTCTCGGGGCTGAGCGCCACAGACAGGTTAGGGAAGTCTGAATTAGAATAATGCCTTGCTAGTTTATGTCTTTTCACGGGATTTGATAATGGCACACACATGCAGAATACTACCAGGCTTATCCCTTTGACATGTGACTTTCCTACATCCTCTCCAAACCTCACAAGCTGTGAAACAACTGACCATTGTTTTTGTTTTTTTAAAGTTGGGAGTGAAAGTTAGATGTGCTGAATATAGTAAAAAAGCAGAAAATTAGGAGTGACATATGGAGAAAAGTGGCGAAGGTGGGAGAGGATACAGCAAAGGAAATGAAGAATGGACACTGGCTTTTTGAAATCCATTTCAACCTTTGACTCTATTTGCATCTTTTTCAAGTGACAGAAATGTCCCGAGGAACACGGGGACAAGAGAAAAGGGGAGGTCCCTAAATGCATGTCTTATATATTAACTACTCTTATCAATCAGGTACTATCACCTGTTGCATTTAGGATCTCAAATTATTCTGATTACAAAGTACCTGTTATAGTACCATTAGATTAGGACACCAGAGTATGAAAAATTGCTAGTTTAAGTCAAAAAACATTATATTACACAGTGCATATGCAGTTTCAAAGGCAGGAGTGGACTTTGTGTCTGAAAAATCCTGTCTCACATTGTTGTTTTTGCTCAAACTATTTTAGTACCATGTAGTAATAACTCAGTATTATTTCTGAAGCTACAAGTGCAAATCGTATTTGATCGTGTGTAATGTTTGGAACACTGTGAGTAAGAGACTGACAAAGTGATGTGTTGAGGAGATATGGTCCTTTCGTAATCCTGACAAAGTGCTGAGCCTTTTCTAAAGGCCTTCGGGGAATGTGAGCAGTTTCCCTATTACCAGTTGGCCACCTCTGTTTTATCCAAAATATAAGTCATGGGTCATGGATGTGTGTTGCATTCTGAATATGATACAAGATGGAAAACAACACATGAAAATACAGGTATCATCCAGGAATTTGAAATACTATAGACAGAAACAGCCAGCCGGGATTGGCTCCGGCCCCCCCCCGTGACCCCGTTCAGGGACTAGATGGTAGAAAATGAAAGAATGAATGAATAGACAGAAACATGATGCGGTAAACACACAGCGAGAGTCTCCTCTTTCGTTTTTGTTTCTAATGGAGTTTCAAGAATTGTAGTTACTTAAAGCAAGTGAAAAATATCCAACTGGGACAGCGGCACACCAGAAACACAAAAGAATGTCACTAGTATGACCTGGGTTTGTGCTGTCCCAATTCACTTAGAGGAAAACCACTGTACTCATCTTGCATTGGATGTGAAAAATCTGCCACTGCAGTGATTTTAACTTCTTTGAATCAAATGTTTTCTAAAAGTGAGTTTAAAACATTTATTTCCTGAATGTTAGAGTGAAGAAGTTGTTTTAAAAAAAAATTTGTTAATTAAATGAGCCGACTTCTGTTTGAAATAAAATACTTCTACTACATATAATAAGGATTTAATCATAGAATACAGAGATGAATGATAGATGGAGAATTCTGCAGAGCAGTAATTCATCTCTGTTTTTGCAGCAGAGCCTGTAGCTCTGTCTGTGGCTGCCTGTACAACACCTGCTTTGTTTGCGGCTCCTCCTGATGGCGGAATTTTGAAATGATCTCTGAGACTGTGACTAACTGTATTTGCATTTGCAATGATAAGATTTCAGTAGAACCCATAGTATTTCACAGACACTGAGTCTCTGACGCCCCTTATGACTTCTCTGTGGCTTTGCCCTGGACCTGGTGGTGACTGTTGTTGCAGTGAACCTGTGACAGTTGTGGACTGATGTGGAGAACAGAGTTGAGGCAGCACAGATCAGTCTCCTTGAGGAGGCCTTGATCCTGCACCACAGATGTCCCTGAACCTTTACCCTGACCAATACACAGGCTGAGCCCCAGGAGCCCCTCCTTGGACACATCTTTCTCCCATGGGACCTGCACAGTTGACTGTCTGTTCCTCAATGGGGTCTCCTCACCCTTCTGGCACTCCTTGCTGCCATGCCTCTGGAAGCCCTTTTCCTGGTAATGCCTTGCTGTGTCCTTGGACATAACCTTCCTCTGCAGGACGCTGGTGGAAGATGTCTGGTTCTGGGTCTGAGAAGGCTCAGCGCTGGCTTGAGGATCTGAAGAGGTCCGAGATCTACCCTCTAGTATGGCAGAATGGTTTGAGTGAGAAACGGGTGCTGGAGAACTGTAGGTGTGATAGAGGGAAGATGGCGGTGTGGGTTTATGAAACAGTGCAGGCGAGTAAGAGAAGCGTGCTCCTGGTTGTCGTCCTTGAGGCTGAAGGGCTGTGTCAGAGTTGAGCTGACGAGGGCGTGACAGGGACTTGGAGATGTCAGAGTCCTGGGCTGGGGGTGTAGCAATGATGACGGGCACTGCAAGAGTTGTGTTAGGTTTCTTTGCCACCTTCAGGCTGCTCTTGGTGGGCTGTCTGCGTGGGGACGGCGGAAGGTGTTTCCCATGGACCACGCTGTCGTCCTGGCCCATGTTCCAACCTCCTTGATCCTCGGCTCCACCATGACCACTCTCATCTGCAGGTTTAGACTCACTGGACGGAGCTGGCTTTGTCTGACAAAGAAGAAACACCAGTTTAATGAAGAGACCTGGGTGGAGGAAATTCAATATTTCCTGTACTGTATATCTCAACACTGCTTTAGTGAAGTTGGCATATGCAGAGCAGCATATCTCACTTAAGTCAATATATCATTAGTTCCTAGTCCTTATGACCAAAATGAAATATCAACTTGTCCCATTCTACCTAATGGATGAAGTGTCTGTTATCAGTTCACTAAATAGTCCCTTTGTTCTTTGCTGCTTATGAGGGTTTTGTAGTGGCTGCTTTGTAACAATAGTGAGAAAATGCACTTTATCATACATTTTTTCTTCAGTTGAACCCATTACAAATTCTACATGTAAAGAACCAATACAAAATCTTAAAGGAAACTATTCACACTACATTTTCCATTAGCTCTGGGTGATGTACAAAACATCTGTATTTGAAGTTAATAAGATTCTTTAAAGACTGAAGTACCTTTAAGAACCTGTAGTTAAAAAAAGAGAAAGTTTTGGCCCTGCAAACTATGCTGTGCACAAAAGCAGTGCATATTGTAAAGTGGAATTACTTATTACTTATTATTACTGAAAACACCCATTTCTCTCAAAATCTGCTGCAGGCCTCCTTTCTTATGTACCGGAGCCTTGTAGTCCAAATCATCCATGGACCTGAAAAAGTCCAGACTCTTGGCAGCGCTGAGTCTGCCTTGCTCAATTGTTGTGGTGTTCAGAGAGTCCAGGATTTCCTCCAGCAGGTTCATCTGGCCTGAGCGGGAGGAGTCAATGTCCAACTCCAGCGAGTAAGAATCGTCGCTGTCTGCGGTGTAGGAAGGAACATCCCTGCTGTCCTCTGAAGAGACCCTGTGTTTAGAGAACAGATGGAGTCAGGCAGAATTAAACAGCGTCCCCTGTCATGTTTCACAGGATAAGCATGATTCCATGATGGGCCTTTCAAGCTTAATATTTAGTATAAAGTATATAAAATTTTTTGTCAATATCTTTTAAAACATCTCAACAATTACATAGTGATAACCCGAACCTTTAAAAAGACTGACATTTCTATGACCTTTTACTAAATATGTCCACTTGGGGGCAGTATTATCATGAGTTAAAAGATGGAATCCGCTTGAAAATGCACTTTTCACCAGACTATCAACTTGTTCTTAATGAAATGAATCAGCCAGTCAGTAAAAGTAGTCATATCGTGACATACATGACGAACATACTTTAAACAACATGAAAATGGTTTCAGTGACAAAATAATGTGCGGCAGTATGTCATAAGGAGGAGGAGTACATACTTGCTTGCAGTGTCCAGCTCATCATCATCTAGCCCGAAGCCAAGATCCCGAGGGCCCATGCTCATGGGAGACTTGCTGAATTTATGCTGTTAATGAGAATAGCAAAGCAAGTGGATGTAGTTAGACAAAAAAAAAAACAAAAAAAAAAACAAAACATGAAAACGGACCCAGGGGGAGTCTCAGCTTAAAGATACAAGACTCCAATTAAACATGGAGTCTAGACAGAATACGGTGTTTTGCTGAGGTACAGCTTTTCATAAAAGCATGACTTGGGACTTGGTAGAAAAAAGCTGCAGGTCTGTGTCTGGTGGGCCCCCATGAGACAGGACTACTAGCTTGTTTTAATGAACCTGGACCCTAAGGGTTGTGACTAAATTTGTCAAACTTGAGTCTAGGGATGAAGATCTTTAAGATCCCCCTGCAGTACTTTATCCAACTCAGCATTACTCTATGTGAAAACAAGCTACTGAGATATGTGTAAAAGCATTCATCATTTGCATTACAACACCAATGTAGGCGGCTGTATTTGTCACTGTGTGTTGAATGATCAGTTTGTACTTTAGTTGTCTGACACAGTGGATTTAATAAGCCACCTGTGTACCATGTTTAATAGGTGGGTTAAAGAAGAGACAGAAGCTTTACAGAGCAGGGCAGGACTCTCCCCATGGGAGCCCAAATCTGCCCCAGGCCACTTATTAACATGCCTTCCACTACAACGCACATGTTCCTCCCTCACTGTGTGTGCCTGTCTTTCACTTTCTAATTTACACTCTTTGCATTTTGCCTATAGACCTTACACAGTGCCCCTCATCTCCTGTCTATTTTTTGGTAATATTTTTTGGAGACACTGGGTTCTTTATTCTGCTGTACCCTTTTTTTTTTTTTTTTTTTTTTACAAATAAAGTGTTAAAAGTGTCTTTTTCTCTCTGTGTGTTTCTCTGTAAACTCACACCAAATTATCAAATCCCAACACTGAGGAAAAGGTTCTTTGCAACCCTAAACGTACGTGGCGCACATGAGATGTGCTTAAGAAGAAATGGCAGCAATGTTTGTCGCTTGCATTGTGGTTTCGGTACTGTTAAAGCCACACAAACAAAGGTGAAGAAACATTTATAACAAAATGCAAAAACCCTTGAACTCAAGACCAAAAAGAATGAAAGAGGGAGGGAATAATGAAAACAAGCAAGGAAGGAAATGTAGAGAAGTGAGGAAAGATTCCTCAAAAACCCAAGGAATGATGGGAATGGAGGCAAGAGGGACAGTACTGGAACTGTGAACCAAACTGAACTGTTCTTGACACAGTACCAGCCAGAAAGGCGGGATTTAACGTGTGGCTGGCCTGGCCTCATTTAGGGCCTGTGTTCAGCTACAGAAGACACACACAGTCACACTCTGACATACACACCCTATTACAAAACCTCCACAAAGAGTTAAAGCTCCATTTTCTCCATAAAAGTCAGCAGATGAGATGTGTGCAGAAGCCAGTTAAGCTTCTCAGCAATCAGGCTAAACGCAAACACATGTGGTGGCACTGCTCATTGGTCAAGCCGCTTCCCTTCCATAGTAGCTTGGAGCTATAAGGAAAGAGGCTTCAGAGGGGCTCAGGCCTGGGATCCCTAAACAGCATTTAATAGATTCCTGTGTCAGGGCAGTAAATCTGGAGCCAGGCTGGCAGAGTGAAGATGTACCCGTGAGACATGAGGAGGGTGGGCTTACTTACAGCATACTCAAATACCACACAAACATGCACTATATGTTCATGGTGCATGCAGTTACCTAGACCTTTTGTGCAACAGGGCTGTGATTAGGAAAGCAGGGCCTCTCTCTTCATCTAAGGTGTTTATTAAAGCAAGGTGAACCCAAACACAACCAGACACAAGTCATGAAGTCTGGCCCTCTGATCTCTGTTACAGCTTTGGTGCCATCTATTCACAAGGAAGTTCCATAGGGAGCTTTAAATGGATGGTACCTCACTTCACAGCTTCATCAATTTGTCATTCCCTCTCTTCACTGTGACCCTTTAGTGCAGCAGTTAAGGTTAAACATCTTAGAACAACCAAGCATTTTACGATAGAAGCACCATATTTGGCACAGGAGGTTTAAATACTTTTATCTTTTTCAAAAAGACCAACACACTGCGTTCGTTTTACTGGTAAGGTGAGGTACAAGACATGCTTTTGTCAGTTACTCAAACATAACAGCACTGCTCCACCAGAGCTGTCGAAACCAGCAGCAGCAGTTAAATCTGAGATCTAAAATTAGATGTACTGTATGTCAATGTAAAAAAAACAAAAACAACAACAACAGGAATATAGACACTCTTCAAGTTTAGACATTTACAATGAAGCATTCTCAACCAGTGCAAAAAGGTCCCACATTGAAACTGTGACAGCTCTGCCACCATCCCATATCTCCCCAGGCCTGACAGGACGGTGGCAAGAACGGAACAGCAGAACAACAGATTATCATACTGCTCCTTCATTAGCTTCTCGCTGTTGGCTAATGGGAGGCTGAAAGGTGAAAATGAAAAAGTGATTCTCCCCTCCATGCCTTCCTGTCTCCCATTTTCTCCCTCCATCACTGTGCTGCCAGTGACAGATGTCACTGTTTCTGTCACTGCCTGCCTCTCACTTCCTTCCTCTCCAGACTGTACGCAATGAAGAGAACAAAAGGCGGAGGTACAGCAGAGAAACATGAGCCATGAAAATAAAAAAATGATCAGAGTATTTCAGTTAAACTACCTTGATATAGTATTTTTGGAAGAGGAAGAGAAACTCCATGTTTCTTAAATCAAAAAAGATTTGCCTTCTCAGCATCTCTTAGGGAAATAGTTCTTTATTATTTTAGTCCTTTTCTAATTGTATTACATTGATTTGTGTCCATGAGTATCTGGCTAAACAACTCACAGAGTTTGGCCTCCCTTCAAGTTAAACAAAAAAGCAGCACACAGACCGTGAGTCGTTACAGTCAGAAACTTTGAGTACATGAGTGTAGAATTGTAAACATGACTCAGTTATCCTTTACTCCATCCCTTTAACACGCCAAGCCTCTGAATGAAAAGGTATGGGAAGGGGGAAAAAAACCTCAAAATTTGATACAACAAATTCAATTTCATTTCTGCAGTTATTAGGGGAAAAGAGTCGTCATCATCCATTTAAGTTGCTGCATTTGGAGAAACCAACTTTGCCCTCCTCATCCTTCCTTCCCTGCATGAGCGGTTATGCAGAACAACTATGCCTCTCTGTGCTGGGGCCAAACGCTTGCGGACTTTAATAGCTGGTCTTGCGTTATACATTTCATACAGCATTTCTAAGTGGGCACTGATCGCACGGCTTGGCAGGGTATGTAAAGAGATGCCAGTAAAATGCAAACAAACCTTGGGGAGAGGCAGAGCCTTTGCAGAAGTACGGCCAAAAAAATGTGTTTGAGGCAAGATCCACTGCTCATCAGCCCAACTGGCTGTTGCTGAAAGCCCACATCCTTTTGGCTAAAAGCAGGAGCCATAGAACAGAACAGAACAGAACAGAACAGAAGGGAAATGTGCATTATGCTCATTCTGTTAGAGGAAACTAAAGTCCAGTGAAATCACCAGGTTTCCTTGATGCGAACGGGTGCAGCGCAGTACTTTGATGCTGCCAGGAGATGGCACTTTGGTTTCAGCGAAGAAGTCGCTTGTACTCTGAATTAAGAAACTAAGCCAAGTAGATAATACAAATGCAAACAAATAACCACACCGACACACAATTATTGACAGAGTCACTGTACTTAAAGTTCATTGTGATGCATCCTAATTATTCATCTGAAAAGATTTATCCACAATACTGATCTTACAGTGGATATTATTAGCTAATTTGAGCTGTCTCTAAATTGTATTATTACAAATCACAACAAACAATAATAGAATCTATAATCATCTATAATCTACATTAAGTTACTTCCTATTCAGTTTACCCACAAAGCATGGATTTGACATGTTATCAATCATGTACTGAATATAATATACAGTTTCTATGCATTGTACTATAAGCAATGAATGCTTCACTTTGAGTGGTATTATATTAAAATTACATACTAGTATAAGCATATTTGAACTCAGAGACAAATGACAGATCTTCATACTGAAAGCCACACAAAAGTGCATTTCATAAAATATTACACAAATACTTCACGAGTCATGTGTATAGTGCATATACTGTACGTGTCCACTGGCCGTGAGCTGTCTCCCACCGGTGGAGCACACACAGGTATTCGCTCACACACACACACAAATGTTTGTTTCCATTTCTCGTGTCGACATATCGACTGTCACTCCTTTCCTGGAGACTTTCTCTAACCTTAACTATATGTAACCATTACTTTCCTAACACCTAACCTTAAGCTTCAACAGTTACTTGGTGGGGACCAGCATGGCCGAGTGCCCACAGTGTGAGTGTGTAAACCGGTTTCTGTCCCCACACTGCGAATACCACCAGACACACACACACATAAGCAAACTGCAGCATGTATGTGCTGATGTATCCATGTGACTTTGCACCTCTGCTTTACATCTGTGTTAGCTCTCTGGCATGTCTCCTGCCCCACCAAGTGAAGAGTCCAGAGCCTGGGGCTGAGCCCAGCCACAGGCCTGCTGGCTGTCATTGTCTCTAACATTGGCCGGCCCTCTACACTCCTCTTCTCTCATAACAGCTGTCATTCCGTTGCCTCCAACCTGAAGCCAACAGTTAAATGCATGTATGTTTATGTACATACACATATGCTGAAATACATGTACAAAGGGTGCTGAGGTGCAGATATACTTTCTTTTTGCAGATGCTTTCAGTACATAAAACAAACTAAATGTACAAAATCTCACATGCAGAGAAACAGATGTGGCACGTGCATACCAGACCATACAGGATCCAGAACAATGGCTGTTTGTTGTATCAGACAAGAAGTCAGCAGTCCAAGTCAGTCGTGTTTTTGTCAAACAAAGGGATTACTCCTACTGTACATTCTTAATCAGCATGCTCACCACACACTACAAATCACCCGCATTGCCAGATATGGCTGAAATATGTAAGCACATGTCAGCAGCACGTTCCCTTTGGTTCACATGTTGGCTGATCAAATACAATATGAATTTCATTATTTCTACTTATTTTGCTATGATTAATTAAAGGAACTTTTCCGGGATCATTCATCTCATTTCAAGGACAGACTTAGAGGGATTTGTTAAAAATGATGAATGATGAAAATGTATCAGGGAGACTTTTATATGAGACTGGAATGTTTCTAATCAGATCACATTTTTGGAGCTTCTGATGCCAACATGTTTCTGAATTTATCAGGCCAGGATAAGCATTTGTTGGTTGGTCAAAAGTATGAAAATACTATGAGTACGCCAGGAGCAGGTTTGACTAAGGACATAATGAAAAAATGTCAACAGGGAGCTGGACGGGTTTTTTTTTTGTAAACACTTTTGTTTCACCTTAGCATGACTTTCTTTAAATGAGGGGATCACAGTGTGATTTCCTGTTAAGAAAAATAGGCTCATTTTATTCTTATTTTAAAAATAAAGACTGTCATGACAAACAAAATCAGATTTATGGATTGCATGGACAGACACAGGACCTTAGTTTTCTCTACAGAGATGGACATAAAGGAGGAGCTACAGTACAAGGATAAGCGTTTTTTTTTTTGTTTGTCCATTTTACTTAACCTTTACTTAACCAGGTTAGTCCCACTGAGATCAATTTCTGGTGCAAGAAACACCTGGTCAAGACAGTTGTGGGCAGAAAAGCAGACGGGAGATTTCACAGACAGGGAGGTTAAAAAAAGACCAACAACATAGCTGTTTTTAATACATTTTTTCAACTGTAATTGAAATGTACAGTAAATATACAAATAAAGTAGAGTATTAGAAGTAGTCTGGTGAAAGTAATTAAATGGTTGGTATAAAGTTCCAAAAACAAAATGCATCAGAAACCTAATAAAAGGCTTTGGTTCATTATGTACTAGCCAAATCACTTTAGAAATATTATTCCTGAACCAAGCATAAATGTTACTTTGTAAGGAGATCTTTTTAAATTTATTTTTTACTTTTACTTGTTTTTAACTTTCACTTCAAATTTCTGACTAATGTGCTTTAATTTGTGTTATAAAGACAGAAAAATGAAACTATCCTGAAAAACTTTACAATTTCAAAACTAATGTTCTGAAAAGGTGCGACTGTTTTTGGGGTTACTACACACTGAGGCTTTCTTGGCTTCTCAATCTGCTGTTTTGGTTTCAGCTGGCAGAAAGAATCTTGGGTCAACTGACCGGTAAACTTAGGAGGGTTTGTTTAATCTGCACAGGCTGGGGTAATATTGTTATACCTGGAGTACGAGCTAGAGTATAAGGTCAGCTGAAAAGATACAAATGGGAGGAGCACTGTGTATGGCTAAAAAGAAACTGATGGACTATATATATATATAAACACAGACACACACAAAGCCAGCGCTGTGGGACATGCTGTCGTATGCCCTGCATGGCCCCTCCTCCAGTGGTCTTCAGGGACCTGTTATTGTGGCATTGCATGGGCCTCAGGGGCAGGGACAGGGGTGTGAGTATACTGAGAATACAGTGGGTGTGTGTAGACAACAATTGCATGTTCACTGTTAAATCTGTGTGTGTGTGTGTGTTGAGCTGCTGCTGTGTGTGTGTGTGTGTGTGTGTGTGCTAGCTTGGGGGAGGGTTTCTGAGGAGGCCTTTAGAAAAGCTCTAATTGCCGTTCCTCTCCTCTCCCCGGCCGTCACACCTTCCTCTGCGCTAAGACTTTCCAGCCTCATCTCACACACAGGAAACACAACACTAATTAGAGGCAGCACAACCTCTCCTAATCACATTCTTACATGACTATGACCAAAATGTCAGTGTATGCAGGCAGGCATGTTTTTTTGTTTGTGTGCGTGTTTTTAGACAGAACTGGGAGTCCACTTGGCATTTTTTATTTAGCAGTAAGAGGTGGTTAAATGCTCCAGCTGGGAGTACAAAGGTATAAATGAGAGCTATAGCTAGCATCCCTGAGGGTGTATGCATGAGTTTAAGTGTGCCCGTCTAATTGTATTAACCTACAACTTCCTACACTGGTATAAGCGAACATATTCATTTACACTACACTGTCTCATAATTTTCTATCATTCTTAACTCTCCTGCAAAATTTACTGATGAGCATGCATGTGCTTGCGCATCGTCTGCCAGTTCTGCACACAACAAAGAAAAAAAATGTGGAATTCACTTATGATGCACAAGCAATTTCTTCAGAGGAAGTGCTGACCGGCAGATTAGTTGATTCTACTGTCCGTGCTGTTCGGAGAGAAATACTGAAAGTACAACACGAGTGTGTTGATAAAAAAGAAGATGCTTATCATTACATCTGGCACCCTGACAAACTACTGTTTCGAGAGAGAGAGAGAGAGAGAGAGAGAGGGGAGAGGAATGGAGATAAAAAAGGACGAGAGAGAAAGATGTGGCAATGCAGGCGGGAGAAAAAAATAGCTGAGAGTGGACAGAGAAAGTACAGAAACGGAAGACGGCATCCGTGTCAGCCCAGGGAAAAGTGAGCTCTGGGATGATCAGTCATTGTATATGTACTTAACTCATTTACTGATGTGCGTGTGTGTGTGTGTGTGCGTGCGCGCGTGCGCATGTCACACCTGTTTCATCTTCTGCAGTCTCCTTGGAGACAGGCTCTTGGTGCTGGTGGGAGACCCGGCACAGACCATCAGCCCCTCTTCTTCTTCCTGAAAGAGAGATGAAGAATATAAATCTTACATGATTTGTGTTGTAAATGATTAAGAATAATGGAAAATAATGTGCATTTATGTGAATTAACCAGACCATAAGACATTAAAGGCATTTCTCTCTTACAGAAGAGTGAAAGATATTTCTGAGTTGAAGCAATTTGTTGCTGCTTCTCACTGATATTTTTAAAAGTTAAAGGATAAGTATAATGATATTGTACATTTTTCTTATTGTCAACAAATTCCATAAAACGATTAATTGATCCTACCAGTAAGTATTGTGCATCTATAGCCTGACAGGGCGTATTCCTCTGTGCCAGAGTGTGGTCAGAAAGTAGAAAGAAACTAAAACATTGGTGAAACTATTTGACAGTATTGGAAATACAAAATATTGCAAGCTCATCTTTTAAAATATTTCTCTAGCTAGCAAGCTAATAAATAATTAAATAAAGTTAAAAACCACCTCTGATCAGTTTAATTTCAATAGGTTTGTGCTGAGGGGCCCTGTATAGATAGACATTTGCAGCTGGAAGCGACACATTGTAAACGCTCTGCAGATTAAGTGTAATCTTAAGAACCTTGAATTCATTCGTCTTCTGACGGCACAAAAAAAATCTGACTTCAAAATCAAATAGATTTCAGCACCTCTGTTTGCATCTGCTGAGTGTGTGTGTGTTTGTGTGTGCATACAAAGTGCAGAACACTGCGTGCTGCCCTTGTTCATCATCAGCGCCCTCTCTGCTCAGTTTCCCACTGACAGATCAAACTGCTATTGCCTTATCAAGTTCATCCGGCTTATGGAAACATACACCTCGTTACATTAGCTTTGAGGAAATCACAGGCTCACTGATGAAATATGCAGACAATGAAAGAGAAAGAGAGGCAGGGGCTCGGATGACATGACAGGCCATAGCCAGAGGGGCGCTAGTTAAAAATGTACAGCCCTGAACAAACGCTAAGCAGGCTTCAACAGTCATTAAAGGCCCCTGTGTTAGAATCACACACTCTATGTAAAGCAGCCTTCCTGTCTGTTTCTGCGAGGGGGCGTAGGTCTATCTGTGCGCCTCTGAAGAGTTTTGTGTACATGTGTGTTTCCATGCTTGTACAGTGTGAGTGTGTGTGCATGTGTGACAGAGCAGTGTGAAGGTATGTACAGCTCACCCTCGCTTTAAGTCTGCCCTTAATGTCCCGGATGCCCCTCTTGGCATGACTCTTGGCCTGGGTGGAAAAGCAGCAACACACACACACAGAGACACAGACACCCTCCAGATTATTAATCAAAACATGTTGCATTAACATTCTGTTCTGGTCTCATGTAATATCAAGAAATGCTTTGATCTCTGTGGCAAAAACACAGAGACAAAAGGCTGGATAAGAGAGTCTCGCACACTAACAGGAGACGATAACATGAAAGGGCACCCTGACCACCAATAGTACAGCACCTAATGACATGGTGCTGCTCATCAAACAGACTAGTCATGAACAATGTTCCAATTCCCTCTGTAGCCAAATGTAAAAGACTTTAGGTTATTTTTTAAATATTCAAGCACGCTGGCTAATTTTCTCTAAAGAACCTGCAAAATGTCATCTTGAGAATTCAAGTTATGTACATACAGTATTAAACAAAGCACTGGCTGCGTGTTCAGCTCTGCAGAAGAACTTACCTTTGTCACAGCTGTGTTGATGAGTGCTCCTCCTTTCTGTAACAGAGACAATTATCTGTCAGTAACCTAAGGACATTTTGAGGCACTATACACACAAACAGACCCATTATTATGAAGTATTTTCATATGCAATATTCGTATACAGTATATAGAGGTAGAGCTGGGCAGTAATTCAAATTAACAGTTTATCTGCTTTTATCGTAATCACAACATGGTGATCTTATCAAATTAATGATTTAGAGCAAACTGCAATTAAGATCAACATATGCTACTAAAGTTTTTGTTTAACATATGAGGAGTACAGAATGTCATAGGGATGACGTACTTTTGTATTAACCACAGACCTTATTTCAAGCGTCTCACCAAAAACTCATTCAAAATAAACCCACTGACTTCAGGGCGAAGAGACCGGAAGCGCAAAAATGCTAATTCAGTTTTGGGTTTTAGCACTATAGCACATAGTACTGCAGCACTATATAGACACGAGACTAATTTTCAATATCAAACACCAATAACTCTCTGCAGCTCTGAAAAGCACTGCAAGGCAACTCCAGTAAGAAGGTGGTGAAACCAGGCAAAGTGTCCTATCACTGAGCCATGATAAACTGCATGACTCATACAGTAGCATTCAGGAGGGTTTTTTTATTTAGAAGCAGCCTAAAACAACAATAGAAGAGACTGTGTGTGATTGATTTCCACTTTGAGTTGTGCAGACTGACATTATGCTACCTAATATCTCTGTGTGCCTGTCTTCTTTTCTCTCTCCGAGTTGCTGCACAACTCCTTTGGCGTCTCACTCTTTTTCTCTCTGTTTGGTCTTTGGTACAACCACAAAGCCTCGGCTAAATGGCTAAACAGAGTAAATGGCAGACAGCATTTCAGAAGTGGGCAGAGGGAGAGGAGGAGAGGGGGCGAGGTGAAGGCCCCTCTTATAGATCCCTGTCAGTCAGGAAATGTGAACTTTAACAAACCTTTGAAGAACACTCCAGAGAACTAATTCAGCCTTACAGTAGCTGACGGCGTGCGGAGAGAGGGAGGGTGAGGGAGAGAGACCCAGCGAGTCAGAGAGAGAGAGACAGAGGGTGGGCTGTGACAAAGATGAAGAGGGTGAGAGAATGGGAGATACAGAAAGAAAGATAAGGGAAGA